GATGTCTGGTAATCTGTGGAGGAGCTCATTAAGGCCAGATATTTGTCCCCGTTATGAAGCTTGTTTGCATCCGTTTCTCACTGGGAAGTTCATAAAGAAAGGTTTTTCAAAGCTGTGAGCTGTACTTTTGCCTCCAGTCCTCGACCTAACAATTGATGACTAACAAGTCATCTGGCATGTATCTTGATGTTTATTATGCCAAGAACATTGAGAGCTTTTGGGGGAGATTTTTGCATGTAAGTTACTAACTAAAATTACATTGGAAAAAACTGGTTTTCTGGAAAACAAATACAAGCTCTAAATAAAGATAGCTGCACAAATGTGGCTTGATATAATTTTTAAATATTCACATCCGTTGTGTGAATTGTGGATTTGATCAACTCTAATTCCACATGGTACTCTGCAGGAATTCTTCTGATATCTACATTATATTGCATTAGTACAAGATCTACAAGATGTCTTGCAGTTCATCACTCCTCAACAGTAAGAGCACCAGCTGCCCTGTAAGTGAGGTTGTTTGCTGACACGTCCTGTTAAGCCAGCTTTCCAAATCTTTGTAGCCTGCGTGACCGGTTGTTTTATGTTTCAGCCCTACAGAACAGTAGCTATCTGACCTGTTTCAAACAGATTCTCAAGAACTACAACTGATAACATACAAAAAAAACAAAACATTATTTCACAGAAAGGCTCTTCCAGAATACTTCCTACTGCGTGCCATACTTCAAATATGTCCATGTTTTTATTCCAGGTCTTTATCAGTAGGGTTAAGATATCACCTTAAAAGAAACCCAGCTGAAATTTGTTTCTACAATGTAAAGGTCAGAACGATATTGGATTCATGCACAACCCAAACATGAGCAAGCTCAAAACCCCTAACAATAAGGGTAGAATCACTCAGCAATAGATGTTATCAGGTGTTCCTCTTTTGAACAAATGTATCTCTTCCCTCATGTCTGAATCCTTTTTATTTTGAATATTTCATTGCATAATATTACCAGTTGATATGCAAGAAATATATTCTTTCCTTAGACAATGACAGGTGCATTTGCATGTGTGTTTCATTTCTTCAGTAAACTGGCATGACTTTAGAGTACATTGAACACATGTTGATTAGAATGTAGACTTATGTGAAAGTCACAGTCTCAATGTAAAATAAACATATGTGATCTTGAACTCCTTTAAGGTTAGGCATGTGGGGCATGCACTGTTTCTTGCCATGGCCTGCAGCACTAAAATACAGACATTACAAATGGCAGCTTTTAAGACATTTATTATCTTGCACCTTTTAAAAATTAGAAAAGGCTTCATGCCTGGATGTGCGAGAACACAATTTAAATCCTGCTTGTTGCTGGTAGCTCTATACCCTGTGCAGGCTGTCATGTCAGAAAACACAAACTAAGAGAGATTAATTATGTTGTGCCTTGTGGACCAGGGAAATCATGCCAGAAAACATTTTACATGCTGCCAAAACTAAGAGCCTCTAGAGTCTTAAATCATCATTACCTCACGTTACATTAATCCAAGCACATCTTTCACACTGTTAATCACTCATGGGCTTTATGTGTCTTAATTATTTGCTCCACAGTTTGGCTTTTTGATATTTGCCAAAAATAACAATACCAAATAAATTCCAATACTGATAATGTCACATTTATTAACTTAAAGTATCACTTAGCATGGTAAGAAAAAGTGTTTTGAGCTGAAGCAGATTGGGTATAAACAGTTGGGTGGTGAGTTTATTTTTACTTAAATCAATAAAGATTTAAGAAATTAGTATGTGCAGCTAATTTCTGAATATTGGACAGGCAAGTTCTGCAACAGGATCTAGATCACAACATCCATGAAAATTAGTTTTCCGCTGTTTTCTTTAGTTGAAGAGCACATATACACAGCACACAGAATTGTAATGTTTTGACAAATACTAATTATACAATGTACACATATGATTGATTATAATGGAAATAACATTCCTGAAATACATAACATTACAGTACTTTTTCCATTGCATGTTCAACAGCAAGAATTAGATGAAAGATTGTCAGTCAGGAAAAGCTGGATGTTCTTCTGGACGATTGTATTAGCCTTTAGAAAAGCATCTCATTGCTTGGTCACAGACCTAGGACAGCACACTGGTAGCACCAGAAAAAAGCCAGGAATGACTCACCTGTCTGCATGAATGCTCAGAATACACATCCCAATCTGGACACAATTTCCTCAGTAATTTCCTTTCATTCTCCAGTCTCGAACATCAGTACCAAGAAGACTGATAAAAACTGTAATCAACAGAAATATTTTAAAAAATTAGAACATAAGAACATGCATTTTTTTTTTAAATCATTGTGTTGAGAAGCTAACTTAAAGAGAACTAGATAACGAGACCTGGCTGCTGGTACTGTAAGTCATAGTTTCTGTTAATGATAAGAAGATCCTAGCTGTCATCGATAAAACAGAGTCAATTTCAAGGATTCAGTACACTTTCCTGACTGTCGAATAAAGCATAACTGCTGAAAGAAAACTTTTTATAAACATTAAGTGTGTTGGGCTATGGGTTTCATTGAAATCCTTTCCATTTTACTAATGTTTGCAATCAGGTCATACAATATATCTATTGCAAAAGATAACTCAAACGTCTCTCCCAGTTTTTTTTGCTTTTCGTTTTTCCATTTCTATTAAATTGGAAGTAGGCAATCAAATATATCCTTCACTCCACCATTCAGGCATGATTAATCAAATCGTCACAAACTTCCAACGGTACAATCTATAGAAACGCCAAACATCGATCGCTAAACAGCAGATGGTCTCCACACCTGGTCCCGAGGCATCGAACTTTAGCAGATATTACAGTTGATTCCTAAATCACCATTTTTTAAAGTCCTGGTGATATATCATTTGATTAATTAAACAACAATTAATGTAGTCATTTCCAATTGCTATCGTATGCATGAACGATAAGCTTCAGGACTCAAGACTCAAGATTTTCATCAAATGCGTAATTGCGTAATTGAACAATATCTTCCAAGTGATCCTAATCTTAAAAAACATCATGATTTAAAGGCTACCTTAAACTACGTGGACTGGGTTTCACATGGGGCATAATGATATTGTTATTAAAGATGATAATATGATGATGACTTCTTGGTCAACTGCCCTGGGACACTTTTGTTTAAAAATCTGGTAATTGATATCCGTGCGTGATAAACGTGTAATACTGATCGACAATTAATTATTCTTGCTATGATGCTGTGAACAGCTGAACAATGTTGCTGATTGTTTCGAAAATGTTTTGGGGAGTTGGGTATTGTAGCGAACGGTTGATCAGTTAAGCGTTTAGCGTCGAATTGTTTTTCATTTCGCTCATTTTGAATGTATAAATTAATTCAATGTATGAATGAACATGTTTACCAAGCTCACCGAGTAGAAAAAAGCATTTGAAGAGAAGGTGCTAAGAGGGAAGAACAACAAGGGAAATGTATGTAACTTTATGTACAGCCTGACATGTAGTAGATCACCAATTGTGGTTAAGCCTTGCTGATACCGAAGTGAACACAAGATGTCCCCCTTGTACTACACCCAAAGAGTGTAATAACCATCGAGGGGTTTATGTGCAAAAGCATTTGTTCTTTGCCTGAAAAATAGGTGGAATTATGCCTTCATTTCAACTACAAAAATGTGAGAAAATGTCTTGACATTTCGTTTTTTAATTACTATGTAACTTAAAAGCTGTACAAAACTGTTGCTGTTGCCTGTGGTAATCAACATATGCTCTCGCATCCTGATTTTCACATAAACTAATTCTAACTGTCTTTACGTCTGGCAGTCAGAAACGTTTTATTTCTGGTGGGAAAACTACAAAGAGAAATATCGTGTGGTATTTTAAAAAACAAAACAATGTTCTAAAATTACAGATTCCTCCAACTCGTACTCTCTTCTACTACCTCCTGTCATGTACATACTCATTGCATATATTTAATCTATTTTTCGTTTCCTTTTGTACTGTAAACCGCCCTGAGAAGCAACTTCTAAATGCGCTACAATAGTAATAATAATAATAAGAAGAAGAATATCACGTCGGTAGAACAGAGGTTTTTCCTTCCTAAGTAAACAACATGTATGCATGTATCATGTCTTTGTGTGAGATGGATTGTGCTCCTGTCCGGGCCCTGATGAGGGGGCACTCGACCTGTTGTTACCTCGAGCTGTCCACTAACCGATTATATGGTCAAGAAAATGTTATTTACAAAATAATCTTAGTCGTGGTCGTACTTTTTTTTTGAGTGTTTGAACCTCTTCAAATGTTCATTGATTTATGACTGACAGTGTTTTATTTAAAAACACGCAAACTAAAGACACAAGGCTAATTGACAAAACTTGATTTAAATTTCACCAATGTCTAACCCCCAAAGCAGACTGGACTGATTAACCCTTCTGAAGGCGCGACTTGATTCTTGGTTCCGTTACTGTTCTTCGGGCTGCGGACTCCTGCAGGCTTAGCAAAATACAACCATGTGGAAAACAAATTCTGATTTTTCTTTTTTTTTTTGCCGCTACAAGAGACAAAAAAAACTTTGTTACACAGCATAAACATAGGCACAGCTATAGATTCATAGAGAACAAGTGTGATCGTATTTAAAATACCCTTTATATGACAATACTTATTACAACAATGCTAGTTTGTAACTTAAACCAGGTTTAGTGTTCTTTCATAATAAATACAGAAGGTAATTTAGTAATTTTGGTGTTTAAACGGTGCTCTAGACTGAATACTTTGGTTCAGACTTAAGACACATTATTTTCTTTTTTTCTGACACATTTTCCCAGAAACGCAGAGTAGGGAGCCCAGTCTTGGCACTCGTTGTCGCAAACAGATGCGCATAGTAAAACTTGGCGTCAAAAGATCTTGCTAGCCAATGGATTTTTCCTCTGGAGGAAAGGGGGTGAGGTTGGTGAAAATTGGTGGGCGGGCCATGGAGCGTATCAATGCAGGTAGGTGGCAGTTCGAATTGGAGATACAGAGGTCTGCCAAAAGCGAAGTCGGAAAACGGGATTCACTGCTGTGTATGAGTTTTTACTCGCGAGGTGATAAAAAACCGTATAGGGCCGGTTTATAAAGTGGCAGCGGTTGGTTCGCTCCGATGTCCGCACCAGAAATGATGAACAGAAAGCTGGGCTCAGGATCAGGATTTGTAAACGCGACCGTGGGCATTGATCGCGGCCGGGTCGGGGAGAGGTTACAGGCTGCTCTGGCTGGAGTGCAGGAGCTGCACCTCCTGAAGGAGAGGCAGAGCGGGATGGTTCAATGGGCTCTCCAGATGGCCCGGGAGAAGCCTGCACTAGTGCCCCATCCAGACGCAGGGGATCCAGGTGGCAGTACGGATGAGCAGCGGCTGGAAGCTACCTTAGCAGCTCTGAAGGAACAGCTGGTACGAATTTCACTCAGATGCTGAAGTTTGTGTGTCTCTCTCATCTAGGTTGAATTCAATGACAGAAATGCAATTACTTTTGGTCACGTAAACCATAAGGTCTTTAGTAAAATTCCTTTTAAATGTCTTTTGTAAATGTATTTTCATAACCTAAAATGTATTATTTTGTAAAATACATTAGAAGCTTTTTGGCGTTCATCAAAGTTTGTTTCAGTATTATAGCACGTTTTCTTTAATTTGTGGCACGCATCTTTACAGTTTAATTTGCTTAGCAGGACGTTTCCGGTACATGCATTATAATCTCAGTTGCATTTTGTATCAAGAATACAGTATTATTCCAAGCCAAGACACGTCTACGTGTATCCGTTAATTCTCGTCTGAGGATCAAAACGTTTCTAATTGCACAAAGTTCGATGCGAAAAAAATCCTTCTGTAAAATTATAGTGGCTTACAATTCTTTTGATCCGGGAGTAACATGAAACCTTACATTAAAAACAATTACAGAGGAATGTTCTAGAGTCGCAGGTTATAAAGTTATAAAGATAAATGATTATTGTTATGACTTTTGCAGCCCTCATAGCACCCAGATATGAATAATGGCTCTGGAGAGTTTGAACAATTTAGGATTCTTTTTCAGAGCTGCAAAGGATCCGAATTATTGTTGGGAGGGTTCGGCGGACTTAATCTTTCAAAAGCTTTAACGAAAATTAAATGTCAAATTTGTAAACATTTCAAAGTGACTAGGGTCAATTCATTTGTGTGATGAAAATCGGTAATCTTCCATACCGTTTCATGAGAAGCATCATCAAAATGAGTCGCACCGCTAAAATAGCTGTAAGTACATAAGCAGAATATACTGTAGGCAATAGAAAAAACAATCGATTAATCTACAGCTTTTGAATAATAGTAATGGGAAACTAACAGATAAAGACATTTAGTTGAAACATCACATGTTTACTGGAAGCTTATTAAAAGCTAAAATGTTTGTTTCTGAATCAATAATAAGACACTGGCAGATATGAACCTTCAATCATGTTATTCTGGAGTTTATAAATAGGACCATTTAGAAAAAGGGTAGTTTCAAATACAAACTTTACACTTTCTTTTTACACTTTTCTTTTTAACTACATTTGGTAATGTGGTGTTCTCTTGCACTGGGATTACGTTTTGTTAAGAAAATAGGAAAGGATAGTGGTTAGATTGTGTTTTATATTTAATTGCAATTCTGTCCCAAGATGGACTGATAATGCTTGTCTTCGGACTAATAAATGAGATGGCTAATAGATTATTATCAACAAGAACTATGAACAGGTTAAGGTCAGGGTCTTTTCTGTGTCATTTTGGATAGGCCAAGAAGGTTATCTCTTCTTGTTTAAAAAATTAAGGGCTTTAGGAGAATGGCTAAATAATTAAATTCATTTCAGTAATAATGATTTTCCTTTGGTTTAAGGAATTACTGTGGTTAGATGCTAAACAAACAGTATTCTCATTGTCCTCCCCCCTCCGATGTTACACAATGCTGAACTAACTGCTTTGGGGGTGTAATGAATTATCCATGAAAGCTAATTCAGCTGCTTTCATGTCCAGCCTCTGTTAATGGTAAACCAATTGCTACTTCTTTTTCCCCCAAAGTGTTGTATAATGTTAAAAATATGTGAGAGAATTAACAGAGGTGTCACACTTTGTTTAAAACCCCTGCATAGAGTCAGTTGTCTTATTTGACACATAGTTTGCTAAACATTCAGTGAAAGCTCTCATTTCCTTCTGGTCTGGGTCACTGCCTTCTGTACTGTTAGGTTAATGTCACACAGTGGCTCATTCTGAACTCAGGTCCTGTCTATAAAAACATTTCAGTTCAAAAAGTAGTGAAATAGTGGGTTTGCAATGGTAAAAAAAATCTGTTTTCTTTGTGATAGTCTTCCTGTTCAATTTAACATCACATTTTTGTCCATCTGCCACATTTTTACTAGGCAACCTCAATGAAATTTAAAGGTTGCAATTGCTTATTTCATTTTCTCAACACAGTTTAAACTTGCAGTTCCTCGTTTGGTAGAAAACGGAGACGTGTCCTGCTGTACGAGGAGTCCCTTAACATTGCTTCTCAACCTGTCTCTCAACCCAGTCGCGTCTGCGAAGACAGGACGTGGGGCTGAAGAGCCACCTGCAGCAGCTGGACCAGCAGATCAGCGAGCTGAAACTGGACATGTCCAAGGCCTCAAGCGAGCACCTGGAGAGCGACAGCCGGCCTAGCTCAGGTAATTGAACTGTCAGAGGCTAACAACCCTCACCAACTGGCATCACAGCTCCTATAGGACTTTTGTGAAACTGCCTTAATTAAAATGGCCAGGCCCTGAATATAAGTTAAACCTACACTAGGGAATTTCAATACACTAAAACATTGTGTGCTAGAAGTATTTCAAAGCCTTTTTCAAGTAGAATGTTTGTGTGCATTTTTTTAGCACACATTATCAAGGAGTAAGCAGCAGGGCTCTGTCACTTAGGCAGTGGAAAAACAGTCCTGCGTTCTGCTCTGGAACAGCTGTCCATGAGGAGTTCTGGAGAATGATGACACAGCAAGATGCTAATCCAACAAAGGGCAATGACATTGTTCAATCCTGTTTTCCTCATGGAGCAATGTGTGTTAGTTTGGCCAGAGACAGGTACGACAAAGTGCCACAAAACTCCCTCTAATGCTGTTTTGCCATCTGTAAAAAAAACAAATCTAGCTGATTTTCTCTTTATTGCGGTTTAAAGTCTTGTAGATTGGGATGTTTTAGCAGTTCAGCTTCAAAAAAATAATTAGGAAACTGGGATTGAATTTGATTAACCTTTATTGCCCCTAAGGGAATTTCTTTTGCACATCAAAAGAAATATGCACATCATATACCAATAATCATAATACAATATACAATATACAATAATAATAGACAACAATACAATATAGCGACATCACAATACCGTGAAACAAAACAACATTTAAAAACATTGCTCAGTCAGAATTCACACTACAACACAAGCCAACACAAAAACTCTGTTCCCTTTGTGCTCCTTTGTGCCCTTCAGGATATATCAAAATGTAATTCTGGCCTCATGCTAATTGTATAATCTGTTCCTCAGGCTTCTATGATTTGAGCGATGGTGGCTCTGTGTCCCTCTCCAACTCCTGCACCTCGGTGTACAGCGAGTGCCTGTCCTCATCCCAGAGCAGCCTGCTCCCTTCCTGCCAGCACAGCCCCCCAGGCACGAGGCCCCAGTCCGCCGACGAGATCACCGTGCAGGGCAGCGCATCTCAACGGGGGGGGGTGCGCATGGGGAGCAGGATCCGTACCAGCACGGACCCGCCTGCCAGCAGCACCAGGGCCAGACCGAGGCCTGTCTCCACAGGTAAACAGGGCCTGCGCTCTCGATCCCGGAATGATGTGATTACCGAGGTAGATTTTTGATATATGTCTCTCTTGCCAGCTGTTTACTGGTGAGAACTATATTTGAATAGTGTTCTTTTAAAGTGTAAAATACAGGTTTTAATCTTGTTCATGACGGCCATAATGTCATGTCATGTGCCAAACCGCTTTATCGCGGTGAAGCTGGAGCCTACCCGGCAAACAACAAGCGCAAGGCCGGGTACACCCTGGACAGGGCGCCAGCCCATCGCACACGGCCATAATGCTCAAATGTAATTTTGCTATCTTAATGAAATGCCACCAGAAATCTAAACCTTAGCATAGTATTCTTGTACAGATTCCCTATGCTGCAAACAGATTGAGTTACATGTTTACCTTTGATACTATGTACGTCTTAAATAATTTACCTGTCTGCTTCAGAAAATGTGTTATCTGGCTGCGTTTTGCAGATTGAATAATGGTTCCTCATTTTTTCCAGGTGACTTGGACAGAATGGTGTTACCAGGACTGGGATTCTATAAAGCCCCAGATACGAAGGCTGTACCGTCTTTATCTCATGGCATCAACATTAAGCAAACTGCAATTGACCCCAGGTACCAGAGCAACCTAGTGTCTAGGAATGGCTCCGATGTGTACCAGTATCCCAGCCCGCTCCATGCAGTAGCCCTACAGAGCCCTATCTTCTCCCTCAGTGGGGAGACTGCCACAGCACAAGGCAGTCAAACAGACACAGTAGCTGGCGCCACTGTCAGCAGCTGCGTGTCTTCAAAAACTTCCTTTGAAAGCAGGCCTGATGGTTACATCTACAAACTTCTCCAGCACAAAAAAAACAGGGAAACTCTTCAGCCTGAGGGCTGTTGCCAGGTAGACAGAGCTCAGCCTCTTTTGTCATGTCATAATGGGGTATTCTCTCTTAGTACGGCAGTGACTAAGGTTAACTGCAGAGCAATGCTCAAATCTCAGGGAGATCAGAGTCTCTCCCAAGGACAGCCCAACATAAAACAGCAGGAGGTCAAGACTGTTTCTGAAGAGAAAGTGGCAATTGTGAACTACAGACAAGAGACAGTAAATTGTGCCCAAACTGCTAAGGTGTTCCACCACAGAGAGGATCTTAAAGCCTGCCATTCCCCCCTTGATGCAGACCAAAGGGTCTCAGTGCTTGTGGAAGCTAATAAATGTCCGGAGAGAGTTCAGAAGGGTGAGGGGAATTCCTGTCCTGACCATAGCTGTGTGGACACACTTTGTGAGGCAGCATTATCAAGGAAGGCACTAAACAGAAAGCACAGCAGCACCTCTAGCCTGGAGAAGAAAAGCCATGAGGCACTTCCCCAGTCAGAATTTGTTCACGCCAAATTTGTCCCTGCCGGGTCACTGCAAGTGAAGGTCAGACAGGCCGGCAAGAAGACAAAGGCAGTAAAACTCAAGAGGCGAAGCAGTGAGAAACTGAGAACTGTTAAACAGCTTCCTTGTGAAAATCTGAAGATACCTTTGGTCAGTGGGGGCCTTTCTGCTGAGACAGCTCCTTTTAATAAACATTCTGGGGGTAGGGCAGTTTACAAAGAGCACAACTGTGTTGGGGAAGTAGCTGGCAGGTCATGTTCACAGTCTAGCTTATATCCCGCTCATCTGAGGCAGACGCAACAAGTTCCCAAGTTCGGGCCTAGCACAACCCACAGATTGCTCCTGCCAGAACCAAGAGTTTCCGTGGATACGAGCAAGAAAAGACAGACACGCAAGTGGCAGTCTGTAGTGGAGATCTCCACTAAACCCTCCCTGGCTCCCTTTCCTAACAGCCGCCCCACTGGGCATCTGCAGGTTCTGCGTAAGGCTGGCATGATGCGGAGCACCAGCCTGAGACACCGGCCAAGTCAGTATGGTGTCCCACGCCACCCCCACCCCAACTCCTACTCCTGCTTGCTCAGCGAGTCGGAGGTGTCTGAGTACTCAGCCGAGTGCGCCTCCTTGTTCCACTCCACCATTGCAGAGAGCAGTGAAGGAGAGCTGAGCGACTTCACAGCAAACCGCTTTGGGGACAGCGAGTCCAGCGAGAGCAGTTCCGATGGCTCTTCTGACAGCAGTCTCTCCCTGAACTCTGAGGACATGGAGGACGGCGAGCTGGTCTGGGCACAATCCACTGTGGGCCCAACAGCTGCAGGACTACCCCTGTCCAGTAGGCCAGAGCCCCCTGCCTGCCGCATCAAAGCCTCCAAGGCCTTGAAGAAGAAGATCCGCAGGTTCCAGCCAGCCGCTCTGAAGGTGATGACTATGGTGTAGATCACCTGCGTAGCTTCCTGCATTTCTGCTATGCTTCCTCCTGAGGAATGAGGGCTTTCATTTCTGGACTGGAGTTCAACCTATGTATCCCAAGTGTATTTTTGTGGAATAATTTAACTTTCTGTATTATATTTTTCCCTTTTTCTTACAAATTGTTCACCATACCTTGTAACCATTTCTTAATAGAGCAATGCTTTGCTTTACAGCAGATTTGATTTGTTATGTGTTAATAAAATGTTATTTAATATTGGATAAAATCTTGTGGTTTGAGTTTTTCTAGTTAATAGTGAAGCTGTATTTTCAGAACTTTTAATACTACATAACTCCCCAAAATACTTATGACTTACAAAATACAAAGGAAAATCACTTTCCATATTTGTTATATAGCATGTAAACATCTAACTGGTACTGTCTTTGGATGTAAATTATTCTATTAAACATATCCAGTCTCAGTCCAAAGCCAGACCGATGTGAGTGTGTGTTTGTGTGTGAGGGACAGGGTATATCTTGCCTTGCGTCTATTATTTGCCGAGATTGGTTCCTGCTCTCCTGCATCCCTGTATTGCATAAAGCAGCTAGAAAATGGTTGTATGGATAAATAACGGAGAATTATAGAAGACCGAAATGCCAAGCGATGGCAGATTTATTTCTGACTGAAGACTGCATCCAAAAGTACACTGCATTTTTGTAGTTAACTAGAAATAGCAGAAAACTAGAAATGTTATGCAGTGCACATTATACTTGAAAGCTAGTAGCACGTCTTTTAACCTGTAAATTGAAGCATGGTGAATCCAAGGGAAACACCCACAGTTGTAGAGAAACAACAGTAAATGTACAATACAGTAAGTGTATGAAATGACACGGTTTTAATTGGTGAATAAGTGAAGCTGTTTACCTACTGTACTTATCTAACTAATGGCTTCCAAACAATCTCCTGTTCAACTGCAACAGAGCTTTTGACAGCTGTTCATGGATTGTAACAAAAAGTCACAAAAATGAATTACACCAAGTCATACATACAATATATCACACTATATGGTAAAAAGGGCATCCATGTTTATCTGGCAGTGTAACCTCTGTTGCAGGGTCATGTCTTTGCCCAGTGTCGAGTACACTGACATCTAGGAAGCTTCTACAAGCTGCATTGAAGTACCCATTCATATCTTCAAATCTGAAACAGCAGCATAAATTATGTCATTCTGTTTTGTTTAGCATTTAGAAGAGATTTTTGTGACAAGCGCACGCCCTCAGTTTCACTCAACACTGCAAACCTTTTGCCTGTATAATTGACTAGCAGGGGTTGAATTGAAAGAGTTATCATTGTTTTGAAAGCTTTTTTTTCTGCTCAAAATATATGCTGTTGTTCTTTATTGATTTAAGATGTCAGGGACATTGGATAGTTTGGAATTTCAAAGGGGATCTTAAGACTGACTTAGCTTAATAAGTTCATCTTTCTGCTGTTATTTCCGATATGAAGTATAACATTTTAAATGGGGTGGAGATCACTGTGACAGTTCGATATCTGAAAAGGCATGGTCCTCAATTCGATCCATCGACTCCAAAATGTTCCATCTCATTTTCAACGATCTGTAGAGATTCCTTGTAAAGAGTGGAGTGGCTCCAAATATATCGCAGTAAAGATCTGTTTTCAGGTAGATTTCTGTTTGAAATCTTATAATTATTATGTAGCATAGGGGTTTCCTGAATGCTTTGTCTACTCCTCTAACCTTGCGTCACGCATGTCAACTGAACGTTAAGCAGCTGTTCCATCTAAAGATGAATTATTGATATATACAGACTTGCATGTCTAACTATGGCCAGGTGTATCTCAAGAGAATGAAAGCAACAAGGCGTGGCTGAGAGCCTTTCGTTGCTGCCCTTAGCATATAAAACGAAAATACTTGTTTTGCTTCAATCAGGTTGGATGGTTGCTAAGCATGACGGACCTAAAGATAAACATTGAACACAGAATAAAAAAATCTAAATAAGCTCTCGGGGAAAAAATAGTCTAAAAATAAAAGGATTCAAATTTTCAGTTTTTTGACTCATCAGTAGCTACTCCACGGCATTTTATGACATTTAACTTTATTAGCAGGAAATTAAATGCCTTGTAAAATAATGAAGTTTAACTGGCAAGGATTTTAAATGCATTTTACAATTGCTTACCAGGCTTCAATACAAATAAAACTGAAAATGTTTGGTGAAATGCTTCAAAAACATTAAATCTCAAACTAATAAAGATATTTATAGAGCTTTTTACAGCATTTATCATGTACCAATGCATATGTGTTTCACTCCATAATTATTTTCATATATATTAGTAAAGGATTGGTATTCTATCTATCCAAGCCTTTGGATTAAACTACTTACAATATGTTGGGCCACTGAGGGAGATCACTATAATTACAACAGTTAATTCACAGTTTTGTTCAGTACACTGAGTAGGTGTGCTTAGGTAGTATAGTACGTGACTACGCTAATAAACTAAATAGCTCAAAATGAATTGTCAGACAAGACCAAAAGATGATTTATGTCATGTTGGATCTCATTACATTATTATGCACCATTAGTAATGCAAAATAATACACTAGCTTAATGTTCTTCATGAACCACAAATCTATCTTTTCTTGCCAAAGGGATCATTTCTATTTGTTCTTAAGGATAGAGGTGTTTTTCTCTTGACCATCTTAGGTATTTAACGGTTAACAAAGAGCAATAATCTAAGAAAGAGTGAAATACAAAATAATGTCTTCTTTTTGTTATCAAACAATGTTCAAACGACAAGCCAAGTTAAACTAATTTGCTGATCTGAGTAGATTTTAGGGCATAGCAAAGCTCAGTGTTTTGTGACCTACTTACACAAAAGGCTGACTGTATTGTCAGACTCTGCCACTTCACATTTGTCTGATGCGGTGTGTTTTGTCACACAATTATAACCTGATTATCTTGGAGACCATATCCTCTGCTCATGTAAATGTCAATTAGGCAGTAATCTGTGCTGTACCATCAATACATCTGTGTACAGTTCATAGCATTGTAAAGGTTAAACCCTGTTCTTACGGTGTTCTACTAAATATCTGGCTGTACTGCAGTTTGCTTGAGTTGAGGAATGGCCTGAACTTTGACTTGTTAATCACTGTGAAACAGGAGGGCCATGCTTACAGCAATCTCCCAGGGCTCTGACAAAACATTCCAGCTGTAACCACACTCCAGCTAACTACACTAAGACAGCTCTTGCTTCCCCAGGAGGGTCATTTCCATTATTTATTTATTCTGTAAATGTCCTAAACAGGCATATTAAATTAATTATTAATTAATTAATATATTAAAGAAACTGTGTCTCTCTTCAGACCCTGTGGGACAAACATTTTTACCAAATCATTACCTGCATTGCATTGCTTGTCAATGCATTAACCATTAAACCCAAATTTCACAGCCTGAAAAACCCCATCAGAGACATCAATGAAAATATCTTTGGCTAAACTAAAGTCTTCCACAGCCATTGTGTTGTGTTGAGGTAATTATAGAAACATCTCAGTCAGTGAAAAACATGAAAGTAAAAAATAATGTGTTATATGTGAATGTGATGAATATGCTTCAGGATCTGAACAGAAGACAAAACTGTACTAACTCCTTATAACAGGTTATTTTGTCAAATAAAACATGAATGATTTTTAATATCTGAGGTACTATTTCAACGATTGAATGCAAGACATCTCTATTGAAGAAAAATTTAATCTTAACAGTTCCATGTAAAGTCATCTTTGTTAGATAAAATATCTTGGCTTCTGGATTAGCTCTTTAAAACTTTAACACTTTTTAGGAATTAATAACATCCTCTACTGATTTGTTCCCCGATGTGTTGCTGGTGTATACTTGTAACAGAATAATCTCCAACTGAAAACCATGTTTTGAGTTCTAGTTGCTAAAACTAAAGTCTGAAATATGTTTTGGTCAGAACAGAAGCAGTGAGACTAAAGCCATATCTTCCCTTCGGAATAATCCAAAAACTAAACAGGTTCCCTTTCAAGACTGCTTATTTAAAACTCCCTCACTTTAATCTTCTCAACAGATGTCCCTTACGAATGATCTTGATTGCCTGGGTGTTTTTCTTTGCTGTTTCAGTTTGTTGGTACAGTGGTCCTTGCTCTTCTAGAATGTTTTTGCAAGGTATGCCACCACAGTGTGAGTACCTCCCTTAAAAACAGCCAGCTGAGTGTTTCTTGCATTTAAAAGAGTTGAATCTCATTTAGAATTTTTGTTTTTAGAGGTACAATGTCTTTTTGCGCAGGTTCTTATGTGATACCACAAAGCTACAGGATAGCATATAAAACAACAGACCAAGGCAACTACTGCACAAAGACAATTGGTCTTATATATAATATATAATTTATATTAGTAATCACGAAGGTATATGTAAAATGTATTTCTTGGTTTTTTTACAGTTCTTATATTTATTTGTATTATATCATTGATGACTAAATATTTTAATATTTAAAGACATCAGTGGAAATGCTTTTTAAGAAATTGTAGCCATGTAGCCAAGATACTTGCCTTTAAAATAATTATAACTTTTTTCTTTGCTGCTACACCTAAGGCTCTGCCCATCAGAAAGTACTGTGAGCAACTGTAGTGGGATTTGATGAAAGGATTGCATTAACATGTTGTCAAGACCAAGCTTATGGTTTACTCCTTATTATCAAGACCTAGAAGCATCATTAGTCATTGGATCAGGGATTTAGAATCCTAATCACAATGTATTAGTGCCCCAGGAAAGAAAGTACATGTCTATGCAATTGCTTGAACACAACTTTCTTAAGAATTTATTTAAACATGACCAGGCAGTGCCCTCTATACAAATCTAAATTCTTTCTAATCCCCTTAATAATTCAAAAAAACACATTCTTATAAATAAAATGTAATTCTTATAATACAGTTCTTATAAAACTGACCTAGCTAATGTTTTGTCAAAAGGTAAAAATCCTGCTATTGTTTCTTTAAGCAGTACAAAGTGTCATATGCAGCGTTAAGCACTTAAATATGATTGATTGTACGAAAGACCAAGGATGTTTGTAGTGTTGAGGAAGTATTGCAATTTATCAAACAATTTTGTTAAAACAATAAAATATAAAAAAGAACTCCCAAACTCAGTTCAAACTCAACTCCTGATGTCAGATTGAAGGAGAACCATTCTAAAGGTGATAAAACCAAACAAGAGCAACAGCCCTCATATAAGAAGACCATTG